GATGTTCAATTCTGAAAAAAGTTATTTTTTTACAAAAAAATTACACACAAGTTAATTAACTGAGTGAATTATAAACTATGTAAACTATAAAAATATTTTAAATTATATAAAATGATGTAAAAAAATTACAAAATTGATTCTAATAATTTTACGAATATAAACACATATTCTCTTTAAGAGAAAATCGAACATTTCTCCAAACCGCATGGTTGCAAGCGTGTCTTAATTCCACTTTGAACTTAATTCTTAAGCCATTTTTAACTAGCATTTCGGTAAGTGAAATCTTAATTTTTGCACCACAAAGTTGGCTTCGCTTTTGGTTGGCCGCAAAATCAGTAGAAAACTTAACACATAAATTATATGACAACATACGAAACCAGAGCCCACAAACATTTTACGGCGGTGAAGGAGGCAACTCCCTTTTAAAGCCACCAAACAGCTTCCATCTCTCTTACACTCACTCGCTCTCGTTACCTCACTCTCTATATCTACTTAGTTCTCTTTTACCCACTCTCCAGCTTGGTCTCTTTCACTCACTCAATATCAAATTAAATGTTACACACATCGGCGGGTTCTATCCGGCTTTACCTGAGCAATCTGAAATGGAAACCGCAAAAAAGGATCCTTCTCGCTACGGTTGATGGCTGCCTAGCACCCTTCTACCACTGCACTATGGTCCCAATGACCACTTTTCTTGGCCAAAAGGTAATTTTTAAAAGTTAAAACCAAGACGTGGTTTTTGGCGCTCTGTATTAGAAAAAGAGTGACCATCAAAGTTGCGTACCAGAAATTTGCATAGATGGCGCCACCATCGCAAAATCAGCTGTGAAACCCAGCGGTCATTATTTCGCAGCATGTGCAGTGAAAAAATGAATATTTGATTGCTGTTTTAAATATCTCATAAATTGAAATATACGATTAACTAATCAAATTTTTTGGATGCATTTTATTCAGTAGGCTTTTTACTACCTGTTTTGTAATGTGAACAATATCTAGTAGTTGGCGATGCCTTCGTAATTGTATGTTAAAGTGAGGCCTTCAATATGTATCAGTTCGTAGTAAAAAGTAATGTTTGAAAAAGGTTTTTTTAATAGAGTGCCACCTAGTCCCACCTTGAAACCTATTTTGTGTCGTGGAGCAATACATGATTGTTAAAATGTATATAGTCGGAAATGCCACATTTGACCACAACTCTTACAATTTGCATTTATAGATCATAACCTCAAATTTTGCCGTTCGGAACACAATGAAGAAAAAAATTGTGAAGTAGGGTGCCATAATGCATTGCATTTAAGCCACAGTATTAGTCACTAGCTATTTTGGAGGGCTAGAGTTTGATATCCCGTGTAATATTGTTTTATAATGAAAACTCCTATGGAGAATGCTTCGTGGGAAAAAAAAATTCGAATATCTTGGATTTTTAAGCAGTTTTAATTCGTGATAAGACTTTTTCTTATAGAATCTTGCACCGCTAAACAAATTCCCATCCTGTTTTTGCTTCTAACATTTTGCGAAAAAAAAAATAAAAACCGAATAAATAATGCTTTGTGGGACAAGAAATTTGATTATATTGTATTTTAAAGCTTGTTTAGTTCGCGCTACTACTTTTTTTATAGAATCTTGCACTGCTTAACATATTCCCATCCTTTTTTGCTTCTAACATTTTGAGAAAAAAAATAAAAACAGATTTTTCCTTTAAAAAAAAAGGTGGTGCCAGGCCCTTTGTCTCAAAAAACAGGCCCCTTGCTATTCTTAACTAATATCAAAAAACTAAATCCAAAAATCTTGATTCGTTCTCAAGTTATTAATTAAGGACACGAAAAGTGGTCATTTGGCCCATAGTGCACTGTGGTGAGTTTCTCCCTTTAGTTACACCCCCTTGGCGTACTCCATCTCCTCTCTGCAGCCCTCTCTGTCCCACACTCATCATCAGCAGCCCTGTTTCTATCGCCGACCGCAAGCGCTAATAAATTATGACCCCAAGCGCTTAACCTTGTGCCGCTCTAGTGCCCCATGACCCATGGCCCAAGCCTCTTCCTCATATCCCTTTTAAATTTCCTACCCCTCTCGCTCTATCACAGTCGCTGCTTCACACTTCTCACCTTTATCAGCAGGCCGCAGAGGAACACAGAAAACCATAAAACCGCAACACACACAACAACATAGAGAATCCAGGAGACCAGAACCAGAACCACCAATAGGTACAATCAGGAGTATATTTCGAGGACCACCAATAACTGCCCTCCGCTAACAAAATTTAGTGCCAAAAAATGAAAAACAATTTTTGTTTAGGGCGGCAGAAATAGCCCAGAAATACTTTTGCCGAAACGAAAAGGAAAATGTTTTGGTGGTGCTCCTCGTTTTGCATTTTGGTTTCAGTTATTTACGACTTTCTGGTTCAGAAGTCAACCATCGCACTTAAATGTGTCATTTTGCATTTTGTTTGGTTAAGAGAAAGGGAACAAAGAGAGCGAGAGAGAGAAATAGAGGAATACAAAGGCAGAGAGAGGGAGAGCGAGATAGTTCCAAGCAACAGACATTTTGGACCAAGTTTCAGGATATGGATGGGGAGGTCAATCCTTTATAGCCAAAAAAACAAAACTGAGTTACATAAAGTTTTGGTGGGCTAAACAGAGAACAAAAACGAAACAAAAAAGGGCAAAAAATGTATCATGCAAGAGAAGGACATTTTGTACACAAAAAAGAGCAAGAGACAAAAAGGCAGCAAAAAATGTTGTCAGCAGAAACGGAGAAAACGCTGTAAGCATATTGAGGTACAAAATGATGAGCTAGAAAGGTACCCTGGGGTATGCCAAAGATCAACATTATTGTTTAACAATTATTTGATACAAAAATATTTTAATATCACAAATAAACTTTCAGATTCATTAAAATAATAAAAAAAAATAACAAAAATTTCTGATTTACTATAAACAATTCATTTGATCAAGTATTATTATTACTTTTCGCATTGAATTATCTATCGTTATTTATCCCTTAAATCATATAAATTAATTGTTCGATTAAAATCGTTAAAAATATGTTAACCCACTCTTTGTCTATCATTTACTAAAGTCTAATATGCCCAAAGATCACCACCCAACCTCCATGTTACCAAAAGAAAACCAAAGGAATATTCTCTTTTATTTAGGTCACTGTGTGTACGCGTGTACGAACGCCTACTTTTCGCTTTTGCGCTGACATAAATAATAACTTTGAAATGCAATTTGTGTCGATTTTGTGTTTATGATTGCCAGAAGGAGGAAACACCAAGTGACAAACAGAAGGCAGAGCAGGACAAACGGCTGCCCAACACGAAGAGAAATAACAAACATTCTCACATGGTCCTCGTGAGCACTTAAGCTATTCAAAAGAATGAATGGAATGGGACAGCATAGATGCGCTATAAGCCTTGATAACAGCTAAACATCCTTAATAAAGGCAGTAAAGGTACTGCAGATCAGAGTTGGTAGCAGCTGTAGCAAGTCGCACTATACTTGCCTTTCCGCTTGTCATAAATCATCAGCACAACGCGCCACTTAAGTGCTTCTAAAACTGTTTTGTTGCCGCTTCTCCCAATCCAGGCAGACCACCAGGCAGGCACGCCTCCATATTAGGACACAAAACTGGCCACTGTCCAGAGCCAAAGCCCACACGACCACTTGCACAAAAATAAGGATGAACCTGTCAGCTGCAGTCGGAGAGGAGGATGCGATAGGATAGAAAAGCTAAATAGACAGTTGGATATAGAATAACAATGACAGAAAATACACAAAACGGAATGGAATGAATGAATGTTTGTGGAAAGATGTATGTATATACATACACAATGAATGGTCTCGGGTCGAGAGTAGAATGGCTATTGGAAATGGAAAAAGATTAGAAGTGGAAAATTCCGTTATGAATGAGAAAGAGAGAAAAGAGCACATCAATAAAAATAAACTTGACTGCAGTTGAGAGGCTTTCAGACAGCACAAAAAAAAAGATGACAGGACAGCACACAAATGAATGACGGAACAGAACAATGAATATATTGGAATAATGAAAAGGGAATCCAAGTCGGTAAGAGAGAGGGAACGAGATAACAAGAGGAACTTTATTTTATTTAGAATGAGTAACTTGGGTGGTAGTAGATTATTCCCATTTCTCTGAGACCGAATAAATATAACATATTTGAACAACATATAAATTCAAGCAAAAAATGTAAATTTAAATCAATTTAATATTTCAAGAGACAATGAGTACATAAAATGCCTTTAAATATTATTTATTCTACGCAAAAATTTATTCCATCTTTATTATTAAAGTTCAAAGCCTCAGGTATGCCCTATTCAATCTCAATCAATTGATTAAATACGAAAAGGTACATTTAATACTACTGTGTGAATATTATTTAATTCAAAAGAGATATCTTGCTCTATATTCTATGTATTTTTGGCACGCTTTCCATTAGTAAAGCTTCGGAGAGCCGGCTCAAGGCTATTGAAATTTTGCCTCAAACACAAATAGCGGAACAGAAAGCAATTTGCTGATGAAATGAAATGGTAAATGCAAGGGAGAATGCAATTAAAAGGGAGCGGGGGCGCAAAAACGTAGAAACTAAGTAGAGGAAAGACACAAATGTGTGTGTATATTGTGTGTGTGTTGTGTCTGGGCAGAGCATTTCTCAAATTAAGTTTGTGTGTTTGCCCTGTGTCTCTGCGCTCTCTCTATCACTCATTTACATGAAAGGGAGGAGAAGCTTCAGTGAGAGCTTTCGGGTATTTACCGCAACAAATTCGAATGTAATTTATCAGAGCCACAGCACAGCACACGCATAAGCCAAACAAAAGAGTGAAGGAAGAAGAGTGATATGCCGCCCAAGGCTAGAGAGAGAGAGAGAGAGCTCCCCCGCTCAGCAACTGAGTTGATGTGCATGTCTGTACCTCATTGCAGTACAGTAATAATGGTTGTTCCTATGCAAATACAACAATACAACAACCCTCCTGACTTCGACTTACCCTTGCTAATGCCTGTGGCCTTGTCGCGCAGCACATTGATCGAGTGCACCGGTCCATACTCCTCAAACATCTCACGCAGCTGCGACTCATCCATGGATTTGGGTATTTGGCCCACAAACATCTTGATGTTGTCTGGATCGGGTTCCTTGTCGCTGTAGGTGACGGTGGCATCGGAATCCAAACGGAAGCACGAGTCATCGTCCATGCTCACGACGACATTACGATTGGCGCTGCACGGATTATTATTGTTGTTGTTCACCAGTCCGGCCGTAGACATAATACCGTTGCTGCCAATGCCCCCCACGAGCGAATTGTTGCTGCTGCCCAAACTACCCTGATTGTTGTTGCCGTTCAGTCCGTTATTGTTGTTGTTGAGCAAAGATGGATTATTGTTGTTGCTATGAATGGGACTGTTGGGCAGGCTATTCGTAGCGCTGCTACTCTTATCGCTCATACCAAACGCACTGCGGGAGAAGAGAATTGGAGTTAGCACAGTGCTCATTAGGTAGAAGTTAAATATTTAATGGTTTTAGTACATGTTTTGAGTATTTTGTGATCAAATATTTTGATAAGAGACTACAAAGAAATTGTTTTTTTGTCTCTTTGATGTTCTTAGTTGGTTTTTCCACAATAATTCCCCACTGTAACTTACAGTTATATCTCCCACACATACTTACTCCAAACAGAGATCAGTAGTACTTTTCTCCGAAAAATCAAATATCATACGGCGATTTGCAAGAAACGAAGGGCGGCTGCTGAACATATTTGTGATCTCAAAAATTTTTACACTGTCGACTCAGTAGGACAACAAAAATTTAATAATAGTTAGAATATAACGGCAAATAACCACGTTCAGTCAATACTTTTGACGCACACGGACAATCGAATTCGGTTTGACTTTAAATAAAAATTGAATTGAAATCGCCTAAAAGAGGATTTCCATTTAACACTGCGACACTCGAAACTCAACGTGACTAATTAAAAAAAGACTATATATTCAATATATAATCAGGGGGGAGGGGGGGTACACGCACGCGCAGCGACTTCAACTAAGCGGTTCTTCTACTTCCTACACTGGCAATCGTCGATGGACAAATGGACGTGCAATGCATTTGGCTTGCATTCAAAGGCAAAAAGAAATTCCAGAGGCTTCCAGGCCTTCCAACAGAGAGGGGTGATGCAGAAGCTTGGGTAATAGAAGAAAGCGATAGGAAAGGGAGGGAGAGACAGAAACTTATCAGCAGTCGATTAAAGAGCAAAAGGTAGAAGGCAAAAGCTCTGCCGACTACGTCGGAAGATTCTGTAATTACGCAGCGAGAGAGGATCAAAATGAACAAGACATAGCATCAGTCAATGCAAAGAAGAGAGATGGGTAGTCCTCCGCCAGCGTCATCTCAAGCTCATATATACATAGCAGACACAAACCAAGCATAGACAGGTGCTCTCCCGAGAGCATCTAGAGAAACTGCAGCCAACAAAGCTGTGCAGCGTGAAAGAGATGGACGGTAAATGCAGCGCAGAAACAGCAAACGACAAAGCAGAGAGCAGAGCGGGTTGGTTGATCGGTTGATCGACTCACGGCTGTTAGCCGAAAGCTTGGACAAAATAACGGATCACAATGCACGATAATGAACACGAACATAAGGTGTGGTTCAGAACTTTGTATTCTCTATTAATTTTCAAGAGATTTAACTTTTCCGTGGTTTACAATTACCCTTAATTTTTGTTACGTCAACCTAAAATTCGAATTGCGACCGAAAAACTGAAAATGTTTCCATTATCCATTTTTCTACTTAACTCTCCTAAGGTGCCTCTGGAGACACACCCTGTTATCCAATCCTTCTTAGCTAATTCATTTCACTCACACACAGGCATACATCCCAACCATCCAAATACACAAAACGTCCTTCCAACATTTAATCAAGAGGTGGTGGCGGTCCTTGTCCAGGTTGGGTTTGCTCAGAGCGTTTTAGTTGACCTAATTTGTGCTGGGCTCTGGCTCCGACGAATGCCAAAATCGTTTATTTACAGTAGAAAATGTCTATTAGGTTAATGCTATTTGAGGATTATTCAGCCAGAAAATCGCCAATCCAAACAAGAAAAATTCACTCAACTTGAACCGAAGTTGTTTTAAGGTTTTTTTTTTTAATTTTAAGTCCACTTGGGAGACAGAGAGAGTAAATCAGGGCACATCCAATTACACATAATTAAGCTTTAGTTTGGTTTGTGTTTGAAATCTTTGTCACGGACGTAAAGCTTTAATTGCGGCTGCTCTGCGTTCCAAGCTCTTTTACACACTTGTCTCGCTCATTCTCTCTCTTCAGCTTTGAGTGTTCCACGGCTGAGGCTGTTGCTTCATATGCTATTTATTTGTTGATACATGTATGTATGTATATGATTTTAATTGTAATATTTATAGTGACGTTTTTAAGCGGTATCTCAAGGTTTTATATCGCCTGCACCTTAGCTTTAGAAAATTTAGCAAATTCTTGTCTTCCCTTCACTACCAATCCTCACCCCTCTCTAACCCTTTGCGCCTTCTTTGTTGCATTTTGTAATTTGAACTTTGTCTTTAATTTTACTTGGCTTCTTCTTTGTTTGCCAGACGCACAAAATCTTTCCAACAGCTCTGTTTCTCTCTCATTGACTTGACTTTAATTTTGTTAAAGTTGGTAAGGAACTGGGGGAGGGGGGGTGGTAGTCGGCGAATATGACAAAATAAGTTGTCGAGTAGCCAAGGGAAACACTGTAATTGCCACGATCCTTTGACAAAATTATTGCATTTCTTGTGCTGCTCCCCCAATACGTAGGGTGATATGAGAGTTAGCCAAGCTCCGCTTAGGATAAAACATGCAATTGCGATAATTTCAGACAAAAATTGTTTAGCCGAAAAACAAAACTTTTTCCTGCACACAACAAACTCGTAAAAACTAGTAGGAAAACGAACTGAACTTTTGTTCTAGTATCAAAGTTCAAGATGCAATTCATCATCAACAAAAAGTATGCAATGTTCGGAAGAAAAATAAGGAAAAATCAGTTATAGGACTGACTACTTACTAGGAATATAGCCCTTCCATCATATGTATATTTATGTGCATAGACATAAGTATTGGTGCTAAGAAAATATCTGAGCGCTATATCTTAATTCTTAGTAATTCTTCTTAATCTTAATTTGTAAGGATTTCTCCCTTAAGAAACTCTTTGGCATTTAAGAGCGCAGTTCCACCTACTTCTCCAACTATCGACTTTACAAGATTATTACACTCGCAGTCTCTTAAAATCCATTCACACTAAGTATGTGAGATTTCACTTTAAATTTTAAAGTGAAAGTTTTCAGATTTGTGCCACCTTTGTTTGCATTTATCTTCATTTGTCAGACCAACAGAGGCAGCAGGAGGAACAGAAGGAGCTGGCACAGAGTAGAAGCAGCAGCTGTCAACAATTTGCCGACCACAAAATTGTCGAGGGAGCCATGAAGGAGTGTCGGAATTTGGTGCTGGGATTTCGCCCAGAATTCAGCATCGTTTCTCCCGAGAAACTTACTAATTTGCTTGATTACTCCAGAGAATTGTGAAAGGGCGGGAGCACATGGCACACAAGGCGGCTGAAATTTGAAATCTATTATAAAAGTTTTTTACCCCCAAAATGAAGGCACACTGGGGACAGCTAAGAGAGCAGGTTGGGCGTGGGTCGTCTTTGACGGCGTCGACATGGGTCAACACTTTGACAGAGACAAGGACACAGTCCAACAAAAAGAAAAAAAAATTCCAATAAAGGCGGGGAAAAAGTAAGAGAGGGCTAAAAAAGTAGTGAATGTAGCAGCTGTGTAATAGAAGATAGAAACAATTCTTTGAACAACTTTTTCTGATGCTGCCTCTTCATTTTATCTTTATCTTTCTGTCTGTCTCTCTCTCTCTCTCTCTCTCTCACCAGTTTTTAAGGTGAGACGGACGGGATAACTTTCGTACATGTCTAGCGTCTGTTACGCTGCACAACAAATCAAGTTCCAAGTGGATATCCAGGGAACTTTTGATTCTTGTTATTTTCTTTTGTTAGCCCCCACCGCTCAATCTCGTTCCGCGCGTTGTTCTCTTTGATTGGGTTGGTGACTGCTCCTTGATGTTCTTCGATTTGTTGGTGCGGTGTACTAGGCATTGAAAATCAATGGGCAAAAGTAACACAAGTGGAGCTTGTAAAGGAGAGCTTTAACCGTGTATTTTATAAAATGGTGCAGGTGCTTTGAAGGACTATTGAGTAAGGGAAGGAATTTTTCAAGGTTTGGTGGAAAATTTGTATGCCCAAGGCGGGACTATTTGACGTTATTCTGGGAGTTATTCTCGGCAGCAAGCCTTTAAAAGTGGATGAACATATCCTACAACAAAATTTAAATTTAAAATTACATAAGTACATATGTATATAGAGCAATAAACCTTCTATAAACCTATTTCTAGTTCAGCTAACATTTTATTTGCTGTAGCATTTAGAAAACGCCTTTGAATATTCCAATCCAATTCTTTATTATCCCTCCTTACCTGCCATCTATTAAATCATATTTTTATCATACCTTTGAACTCCTTAAGTCTTCGTTCCTTAGTAGCTTAACCTCTTGAAGCTTTGCTTTGATCTCTCTTAGCTTCGCCGTCTATAATTTACTCAACTTCAGCAGACAGCAAGGGGGTAGAGCGGGCAGACAGAAAGCGAGCTTGGCAAACAGAGAGGCCGAGCGGGAAAATATAAAGGGAGCGCGGGCAGAAAGATAAATACAACCAAAATATATGAGAGCGGGGACAGAGACGCATTTCGGCACGCTTATCAAAGATAATTTTAAGCCGCATCTAAAATGATTTCTTTGCTTTATTTTATAACACTCTCTTTTTGACTGTCTCTGTCTTTTAACCGTTCGTTACACCTTTTCTTTTTTTGTTGAGCTACGCGACTTTTTACGCTGACTGTGCGTTGTCTGGCAACGCTGGCCTAGACGTGCAAAGAGAACAGAGAGTGGGGTGGGAGCGAGGCTGGGTGCGTCCCAATGTTGACACTCAGTGAACCCAAAAAGGAGACAGAGGCAAAAACAACAAGTGGAGTACAGCAAGCAATGCCTGCCCGAAGCTTTTGATGCCCTTACCGCACCATCGCTTCACCTCGTATAAATAAACTTTATCTTGTCAAAAATAATCAGAAAACTCTCTTGCTGAAGGGTATAAGTAAACCGTTCTTCACTGCTATGCACTGCTCTTTTTATGGTCAGGGCTGAAGGGTATAAGTAAACCGTTCTTCACTGCTATGTACTGCTCTTTTTATGGTCAAGGCTAGAGCCTCTGCCGGTACTGCCTGGACATGGCTGAGGACTTCCGTTTTGTCCTGCATCCCGTTCATCCTCTACAGCGACTATTGGATGAGCAATTTTGACAAAAGGGTGGACGAAGAAGGGGCTTGGACTTTTGTGCAAATATTGGACATAGCC